GGATACATCCACCTTGTAATATCATTATTATACTCCTACTAACATTTCTTCACGACTTGTAGGCTAAGTTGAGGTCATTATAATCGTGATGAGGGGGTAAAGTTGGGAATCCATTACCAGTGGGTGATCCAATTTCCACCTACATAAGATAGTTGGACTTACTCTTTAAACCTTCAAAAGTGCTTTCAAACTATTTTTCAAAGTTATTGCACTTTTGTAGTTTTATATTTTCTAATTTAATCTTTCTATCCTTTGTCCCCTAATGATCTAGCTGCTGGAGATGTGTATGCAGAACTGCAATGCAAATTTTCAGAATTTGGTGCTGAGGAAAGAGTACCTTAAGCAGGTGCTGGTCAAACTCTTAGATCCGAAGTACAACTTACCTGTCCACATGCAAAACAGAATTCTCCGCTTCATCATGGTAAGCTGTCTGAGGTTAGTTTACTATTAGGTTTGTGTCACTTAAGGCCACATAATAAGGAGTCGCTGAAACCTGCTGTTAAGCTGATGTTGCTTTGCGATTTGTGTAGGAAATAAAGGCAACTGTTTTCAAGTTCTTTCCTTCTTGAAAGGTCCTAGATCCCAAGATTATGTAGAGATCCATGTGTAAAAAGAGAAGATTCTGCTGAGTGACAGGAGGGAGGACAGGTTGTGGGCTAGGGCCTGCTCTTATCTTGATGATATCTTGAGATTGCCACAGGTTTCCTAAAACCTGATCACTCTGTTATGCAAATATAGACAACTACCACAACTACCATGTTCCAGCTCTAGCCACCTGCTCCTGAGCCCTGCACCTCCTTTTTGGCCAGTGAAGTCATCCAAGGTATGGAGGTGAGAAGAGGTGATAAACAGTTTAACCATGGACGGCGAGGTCACCATAGGAGATCAACAGGATGCCAACTGCTACCTAGAGGTGCCTGCTCTATGGACCTGGTATCATTGTAGTAGGTAAGGTGACCTTACATGTTTCCCTCAGTTTTTTTGCCGTCAAAGTTCTGTTTCCTTGTCCATAAACTAAAAATGAGTCAATGGGCGTCTGAGAGAGCCCCCTTTCTTATGGTGGCCAACAGGCATAAACTTTCTGTATTGCCCATTGTAAACAATCACATTCTTCTTTAGTTTTGTAGACTACCATAAGAAGGTGAAATAAGAAAGAAACAAGATTTTCCTATTTCCTGACACCTTTGATGGTCTCTAATCACAAGCCACAAGTGTTTTATGTACACCTATAAGGTCACCTTACCTATACTATAGTGCCACCAGCTCCATAGAGCAAACCTACAAGTGTTTTATGGAAACCTGCAAGTTCACCTTACCTACTACAGTGCCACCAGCTCCATAGAGCAAACCTACAAGTGTTTTATGGAAACCTGCAAGTTCACCTTACCTACTACAATGCCACCAGCTACATAGAGCAAACCTACAAGTGTTTTATGTACACCTGTAAGGTCACCTTACCTACTACAGTGCCACCAGCTCCATAGAGCAAACCTACAAGTGTTTTATGGAAACCTGCAAGTTCACCTTACCTACTACAATGCCACCAGCTACATAGAGCAAACCTACAAGTGTTTTATGTGCACCTGTAAGGTCACCTTACCTACTACAGTGCCACCAGCTACATAGAGCAAACCTACAAGTGTTTTATATAAACCTGCAAGGTCACATTACCTACTACAGTGCCCCCAGCTCCATAGAGCAAAACGTCAAGTGTTTTATGGAAACCCCTAAGGTTACTTACCTACTACAATGCCACCAGCTCAATAGAACAGAGACCTCTAGGTAGGTGACTGTTGGCATCCTCGAATCACCTTCATGACCCCCTCTGTGACCTCACCTTCCAAGTTTGAACTATGACCCACCTCTATTGGACTTCATACCTTTCAACTGGCTTCCAAATGCTATGGATGGCTTCACTGACTGATAAGGAGGTGCAGGGTTCAGGAGCAGTTGGCCAGAATTGGACCATGGAAGTTGTGGCCTGTATCTGCACAACAGAGTGATCACGTTTTGGGAATGTATTCTTATCTTTCTAAAAGTCTCAAGAACTAAAATTGAATGTGGAATGTATTTAATATGACTGCAGAATAGTCAGGACTGGTTTCTTTAACAGAAAAGATGACAGACATGTGACTACACGTTGGGCTAAAAATAGAATTAACAAATTTAAGAAAATTGTGGGTTTTTTTAATGGTATCTTAAGTTTTGCATATTCTGCTTTATAGCGATATTACGTTTTATGGGAATGCAAATGTCTAGATGACAATTGGGCTTTATAACAGTTTAGTAAGCATGCAAGTTTCCCCACCCCCCAAGCCAGCTGCCCTGCTAGGGTCAGGGGAAAATCAGTGGCACAGGTCAGAAGCTTGTAAGAACAGTGCCACCAAGTTTATGGGGCTCTCCATTGTCCAGCAGGCAATGAGGACCGTTAGACTGTGCATCCTCGAATGTCCACCCTGGCACACCTAAGGATAGTTTGAGACCACACTAATAAATTTGTGTATTTTTGGAATATTGAAGTTTTATGGAAGTTGCTTTGTTTGATTTCGTAGCTACAATTAATAATTCTTTCTATTTTTTCCTTACTAGAAATGGTCCACTGGCTCCCGTCCAAGCGTAGATCAGACGGAAGTCAAAGAATTATACTTAGATATGATTAAGAAAGGGATTCATTTTCCTTCCCTTGAGCCTACTGAAGATGAAATTAGACAGCCACAAAAGGTAAGTATGATGAACTCCACTTTGTACTTCAGAGGTAGTGAATTAAAATTCAAAGAGGTCCGGTGATTAAAATTTTCATCTAGCCGAGGTCCGGACAGAACGGTCACGTGTCCGTACTGCGGTCCGCCATTCGAGCTGCATTCACACCAGCAGCTGCACTGCAACGCACAGCTACTGGTGCAGAGTGCTAATGCGCCGCTCCTGATGCATGACAGTTTTTGTTTTTTTTGGTAAGAAGTCCCCCCTTCCTGTTTACATACACATGCATGCCTTACATGAATTATTAGAATCAGATGGTGGGACAGGCAGGGTTGGTTTTAATTTATTTTATTTTTTTTTCATTTTATTGCTTTTTTTTTTCTTTATCACCTTTATTAAAAAAAAATTTCAGTTAACTTTTGCTATCACAAAGGGGCTAACAAACCCCTATGTTACAGCATTTGGAGGTGACAGCTTCTCTTTATGGAGACATCAGGGGTCTATTACCTGGCTATTTCTGTCTACAACTGTTAACTTTCATCCTCTCTAGACACCTTGGCTCCCCTCACTACTCGCAGACTTAGACCACGTCCACTACAACCGTGGCAAACAGATGAAACTAAAAATCTCAAGAGACATAGCCGGACTCTTGAACGACTGTGGCGAAAAACTAGATCCCTGCAAGACTTTACCCTGTACAAAGCTACCCTCCTAAAATATAACTCCTCCCTCCGTGCTGCCAAACAGACTTATTTTGTCACTCTCATTAACAAACTCTCATCCACACCTCGCCAACTCTTTTCTACTTTTAACTCCCTCCACCGCCACCACCTACTAACTCACTCACTGCCCAGGACATTGCCATTCACTTGAATAACAAAATAGATACAATTCGGGATCAGATCGCCACTGTGCAGTCATCTTCCCCTATTCATGTGCCAGACCCTCCATCACACTTTCTACTCTCCTCTTTTGACCCCGTCACCACAGAGGAGGTTACAAAGCTTCTCTCTGACACCCACCTGACCACTTGCCCCCTGGACCCTGTTCCTTCACCGCTACTTCGGTCACCCTCATACTCTATCCTACACTCTCTTACTCACATTTTCAATCTCTCACTCTCTACTGGAATCTTTCCCTCCCCTCTGAAGCATGCCCTGGTCACCCCAATACCCAAGAAACCCTCAATGGACCCTACCGACCTCAATAATCTCAGACCAATTCTCAAACAATTCATCCCCACGCAGCTCCCTCCTCATGTATCACTTCCCCCTCCCTTTTAGATTGTAAGCCCTCACGGGCAGGGCCCTCCTTACCATCTTGTCTTGAATTGTATTGTAATTGTAATGTCTTCCTTATATTGTAAAGCGCTGCGCAAACTGTTGGCGCTATATAAATCCTGTATAATAATAATAATATTAGACCTCTAATGTCTTGACCTGCCCTCCAATAAAGATCATCAAGCACAGGAATGTGCTTCATCTTTTGTATAGGATACTCGGCACTTCAGCCGGTTTATGACAGCTGAAGCAGGAAGTCTAAAAATACTGCATGCTTCAGTGATCACAGAGCAGATTGAAGAATGGACATTCCCTGGTCTGCTCCCGCTCTCCATCCTGACAGTCTGCCGTGGTCTTGGGCCCCCCAGAGGAGCAGGGACCTGAAAACTGAGGTGGGGGGTGCAGGGAGGGGGCTTGCGGCACAACAGCGGACTAGTACAAGTGATCTGGGTGGTTGTGCAGCACACATTAATGTGGTTCCACATCTTATTGCAACCCAGTGACATCCAGGGGGTATATTGGGGTGATATCCAGAATGAATGGCAACATAATGCACCAGTGCGCCTAGCATGCAGTTCTGTGTGCTATGCGATAGCGCGCACTACACGCATTCAACCCACATGTTTAGTGCAACGCTATGATGTGACAGGGTCTTTTCCTTCTATGCTGTGGAGAGGAAGAGAGTGGGAGGGATTGTGTAGTTTAGCAAAAAGACAAATGGGCAGGGATGGCACCATTCATTGCAATTTCAGCCCACAACAGGAATTAGGAGCTGAGTGCAATACTGGCAATACTATAGTTATTGTCCTGTACTTGCAGGGACTTTATTGGGATTATAACAAGAAGTGATCATGTAATGCAGAAAAGTACAACATGTGATTTTTTTAAATTTAATATTGGCATCACTTACACGTAATTGCTTCTGATGTTTCCCAGTTAAACATTGACAGGCGGTTTAGATTCTTTAAAGACATGGGAAAGGGAAGTACAAGGGTCAGACAGCATGTTGCTTTCTCCACAGCTACAATCACAATTCAAAGAGAAACTGTACTAAGTTATTACTGTTTACCTGAAAGTAAGCTACTGTATCTACTTTAAGGATATAAGGAACACCAATTAAAGCACTGATGTATTCATAAAAACAATTGACTTGAAATGTGCCTCTTGTAATCCCATTTACTCTGCACTCTGGGAGAGGAAGGAGCAGGACTGGGAGGCAATCCGGTGTGCTGCAATTAAATATGCTGACGGGAGGAGAGAGCAGGGTGACATAATGATGGGTTGCTGCCTAATCACAGGCTCGGGGGAAGGAAGATGACCAAGCTTTATTGCTTAATTGCAGTAAGAATAGACAGGTCACAAGCCTGACTGTACTGCATGGTGGGGCTGTGTAATTCTCTGGACTGAGCTCCAATAGAAGGACTTTCATTTGTGTAATTATCTGTTTGCTTGGAGTTCAACTTTAATGCAGACCTGTGACCCCCTTGACTAAAAATCATATCAGCGTACAGCTCTCCATGCTGATATGAGATCATCTTACATTCATCAGCTTAACAAACATAGTTTTACAATTATTGTTTTTTCGACTTCCTGGTCCTCTTGGGTAGGGATGCACCGATATAGATTTTTCCCGGAACTCGCCCATACCAAATACCGGTGCCAGAAGTCCCATTAAGGAAGCCGGGTGTTGGGTAATGCCCGGCTTTCTGATTGGCCAGCTTCCCGACCAATCAGGAAGTCAGGACGTAAGTCATTACACGCTGCCCGGCTTCCTGATTGACCGGGAAGCTATCTCCAAGTTCTCTCGTCACCAGGTGACAAGAAGGCTTGAAGCCGGCTTTCTGGCCAATCAGGGAGTCGGGGTGGGTGAGGGTAATGACGAGTCGACCGGCTTACTGATTGGCCAGCTTCCTGACCAATCAGGAAGCCAGGCAGCGAGTTATTACACACCACCAAGATTCCTGTTTGGCTCGGAAGCCAGCTCCAAGCTCCCTCATCACCAAGTAACATGGGAGCATGGAGCCAGCTTCCCGGGCCAATCAGGAAGCCGGGCAGCGTGTAATGACTCGACGCCCGGCTTCCTGATCCTGGAATTTCCAGTATCAGGAATAGTATCAGAGTATTTGGGCAAGTATGAGTACTTGCCCAAATACTTGGCATCGGCACTGATACTAGTATCGGTATCGGTGCACCCCTACTCTGGGGCATTAGTGATGTAATCTGCCCAAGTGTTGCATCCTGGGAAGGTTACATCAGCAGAGCATTGCTGGGAAATCTCATCTGTAATCTCAGGGGATCTCGGGGGAAAGGCATTTTGCTCCTCCTGAGATGATGTGCACGGTCACATGTTCTAGTCACATGTGCCGGAGTTCCAGGAAATAAAGGGGATCTAGTAACCTGCCCTTAGTAAAAATGACCACTGTGAGATGACTGGGGAGGAAAAGAGAAATAAGGTGCAAAGAATAAAAAGCCGGCAATTATCTAGAAGTATGAGTTTGTAGATTGTCATTACTAGACATTTCTAAAGGTGTGTTTGTTGTCATTTTAAAGACATGGGGGAAGTTCCTCTTTAAGCTCCCCTCACACTGGCAAGTCTGTAGCAACCTTAAACTGAATATTTTTCTGGACGCTGAACTCTGTTTGTCCCATGAAGTGAATTTTATTCTCGGCATTCTTCTCACTTCAGAGGTTATCGGAAAGTTTCTTTGAATTCGGGCTCATTGAAGCACTTCATTACGGCTATGTACTCGGATGTAATTAGATCCTGTTTATCTTGTTTGCCCAGCTGCTTTGTTTATGTTATGTAATTCATCAGCATGTAAAGACATTGCACTGCGCTCCCTCTCTCGCTCTCTTCCTTTTCCTTTCTGCCTTCCATAAATGTGAATTATATTTCAAGTATCTAGTTGGTGTTAAAGTGAAAACGCAGTTTATTTGCAAAGAGAACACATTTTAAGTCATTATTGTAACATTTACCTGAATGTAGTTTTTTTGATGAGACTCGTATTTTTACTTCCTTGTTGATCAATATTTTGACAATTGTATTAAACGCTTCCCCTGGTGGTCTGTCCTGTTTCAAATGTGGATTTATGCAAAGATATAGCTCTACAGAACACAGTCTGCCCGGACACTATGGCCACCTTCTGACTCAACAGAATTCACAGACAGCTTAACTCTTCAATAAGACATAGACATTGAATTCAATGTAGGTATAGTAGTGTTGTTAGGTTTATAGACAAAACTCTGATACCACACCCTGATGAGAATTTACCATGTCAAAGTGGCTGTGACATCATCACTGTGCTGCACGTAGCCTTTGTAGAGAGCAGAGCTGTGGGAGGGACCCAGCAAGCCCCACCCACTACAGGCTGCTTGCAGAAAACTACATGAGGGGGCAGAGACAAGACCAGTCACCCTGCACAATAAAAGAGAGCAGCAGCGAGCAGTCTTTATTATAGGAGGGGGCAGAGACAAGACCAGTGACCCTGCACAAGGAGGGAGAGCAGCAGTGACCGGTCTTTATTACAGGAAGCTCCAAGTCTCACACTGGATTACTGCACAGATCTGGAAGAAATACACAAAGAAAACTAGGGATGCACCGATGCAGCAGTGACTGGTCTTTATTACAGGAGGGGGCGAAGATAAGACCAGTCACCCTGCACAAGGACAGTGAGCAGCAGTGACCGGTCTTTATTACTGGAGGGGGCAGAAACAAGGCCAGTCACCCTGTACAATGAGAGAGAGCAGCAGTGATCGGTCTTTATTACAGGAAGCTCCAAGTATCACACTGGATTCCTACACAGATCTGGAAGAAATACACAAAGCTCACTAAGATTCAAGTAAGAATACACATGGCTCTTGTGTTCAGACAATATTTGCTTATCCTGGTAGTCAGCTTTAAATTTGGTGAGCCATTCTTATGACACACAGACCTCTGTAATCAGGATGATCACTGTGCTTCTTCCTGGTTCACCATTGACGGGTTACCTCCTTGCTCCTTGGACAGAGGTGATGATGTCGATTCACTGTCCACTAAGGAGGCTGGAGGTGGAAAGCTAAAACAGGAATCTGAACCCAGAAGATAAATTGCTTAATCAGATCTACATGTGTCACCCAACTGGTTGTGCAATGCGGAAAATGTGAGTAAATGACAAAGCTGGACGTGTAGAATTACAAATTCTTTGGCAGGTAAAACAGTAAACATATAAGGAATCCAGCTGAGGGTTCAGGTATTTGCCTTGAGTTGTCATTTAATAATTGCTAACGTTGACACAGATAGCTTTGTAGTCCACCTGTAAATAATTGTTTCTCATTTTCTAATACTCTTACAAAGGAAACGTAGTTTTGTTGCTTCCAGCAAGTGGCCAAATGTATTTCTTTATTTCTACACCAGAAATATGATGGAATTTGATCGCTATGGGCAGCAATTTATAGCAAGTAACCGTAACGTGATCTATGGCTTTTATTTTCTGTTTTGCTGATGTTAACCATTGTAGGGATCGGTACATCTATAAAAACCAGTTCATAGAGTAGACGTAATCGCTAACTGTATGGCAGATAGTTTACTTACACACTGTGTCTTAAACAGTGACCACCCAACCTAACATTGAGTAGGTCCTGCTTTTGACACCAAAACATCTCTGACCCTTCAAGGCATGGACTCCTCTAGACCTCTGAAGGTACGCTGTGGTATCTGGCACCAAGCCATCAGTAGCAGATCCTTTAAGTCCTGTAAATTGTGAGGTGGGGTCTCCATGGAACGGACTTGTTTTGCCAGCACATCCCACAGATGCTCGATTGGATTGAGATCTGGAGAATTTGGAGGCCAAGTCAATACCTCAAACTCATTGTTGTGTTCCTCAAATCATTCTTGAACCATTTTTGCAGTTTGGCAGGAATACCGTTTGCATGAAGGGGTGTACTTGGTCAGCAACAATGTTTAGGTCGGTGGTACGTGTCAAAGTAACATCCACAAGAATGGCAGGACCCAATGTTTTACAGCAGAACATTGCCCAAAGTATCACAAATTCTTGAGAAAATATTTCTCTCTAGTTGGATTAACTCATCATTGATAGGTTTAAACAGGATCATACCATAGAAAATGCCCAATGTGTAGTGCCCCCCCAGAAATAGGCAGGCCTAGTCTCCATTAGGAAGGGAGGGTCAGGTGTAAACATGGCATGATAGTTTAGAAGAAGGCGGTGGGGCTTAAAGAGAAGGAAGGAGGTCAGAGAACACTGTGGGAAGGCTGGGGCTTGCTATAGGCCATGTGATATACTGTCAAACTTCCTCTTAAGGGGCAAGCATGGAACGTTCACCTCCAGTGGGCCATACCTGTATAGCTGGAAACAGCAGAGTGAAGTAGGGCTTAGATTAAATGACCTCAGCTGTTGACCATGGATCAGGACTAGAGCAGCCCAGGAATGTGGACAAACATTTAAATATTGGATAGAACACATATGGTCACAGTTTAAATTGGATACTCATAGAAGATGCTGTATATTTTTATATATTTTGCAGGGTTCCTGCCTCTAACAAGAGCGTGTTTAATATTGCATATCGGCTGCCCGTCATGAACATCCCTTTAAGGCCATCAAATCAAAATTTCCCACAAAACTGTATATCACGGCGAGCGGGCGCGGGAAAAGAGATGCCTCGTTGTGTGTTGTATACTGGAGCTCATTGCAGCTACTGGCCCTCAGCACCAGAGTAATAAAATCACAGCTGTTGGCACATTGACTGTCCTCATAACACGGTCTGGGAGGACCCAATCTTCACACAGCAATCATTCCTGGATTAAATCCTTCACCTTTCTAGACCTATATTTATAGTAGAAGCCTTCTGCAGAAAATTAGATCAGTAAGTAATTTATCGTAGTAGAGACTTAACATTCTCAAATACATTATTAGGGATAAGCAAAATTGAGAGTCTTCATTTCATTAGCAAAAATGTTGCCAAAATTTGTCACCAAATCAGACCTATGGCAAAATTGAAGAGCTCCAGGTCTGAGAAGGGAGCGTGTCAGGCCTCTGCAGGGAACTTTAGCCATGTCCCATCGCACTCCTGAACAAGATAAACCTGTGACCAATGGGTGGGTGTTGCAGTGAACACGGATGGCGCCACTAATCAAAAAGTGAAGTAGTCACTGGCACTCCAAAGTCTGTTCTGCCAATTCTTCTTTATTGACACCAAACAGGTCATTTCACAATGAATACCAATGTTTCCGACCCATACCTGGTCCCTCATCAGGCAACCAAGGTGATTACCCAGAAAACCTCTGTCTTTTAGAGCTATCTATCTATCTATCTATATATAATGTCAAAAAAGACAATTACATATATACGTGTGTGTAACTGAAGCGAACCAATTAAAAAAAACATACCATCCCCTCCTGAAGTCATTATGACGTCATGTTCCCGTCAGAAAATGTTATTTTTGTAAACAGTTAAGACGAATACATTATGCATATACATTATGGACCTCTGCAGGGAGACCACTGCTTCCCCACAGAAAATAGGGTTCCTTCTCTGCAGCATGCTGCCTGGGGTCAGGCTTTTCTACTTCGGCTGTGACTGCTTTAGAAAGAAAATGATCTATAAGACAACGGCCGCCTTTTGTTTTGATGCAGCTGGAATGCATGTAGCTGATTTAACCTAAGAGTTCAGTTGGGCTTTAAAGAGACCCTGTCACCACGTTCGGCAAGGTCTACTGATTACCTGCTGCAGCAATTTTAGCAGCTTAAAGTGCAAGTGGAGCCCGGTTTTGGATAGAGTGGAGAGGGATTAGATTGCTGTCTATGTCCCCATTAGGGAGATTCACCCTCTCCGTTTGTCCGGGTGACCGTTATCACTGAAAGGGAAAGAAAATTCCAAATTTTGGGTGATCACCAGAACAGGAATAGAAATCTTCCAATGGAACACAAGTTCTGGTGAGAAGCCTTTATTCCGTCTTCAAACTTACATGGTGACCAGGGCCGGATTTACTCTCACTGCCGCCCCAAGGCCAGGTTCCGCAATACGCCCCCCTGCACAGCTCTCCCCTCTCACTGTCTACACGGAGCGGCAGGGTTAGTTTTAACCCTGCCGCTCTGCTCACTGCAGTGAGGAGAGACTCGGCGGCGGAGCCAGCGAGGAGAGAGGTAAGTGCAGGGGGGAGGGGAGGACGGACCGGCCGGCTGCAGACTTTTTACATGTGATCTCGCCGATCGCTGAGATCACATGTAAACGAACAATCGGCTGCCTCACACTACATTTAGTCCTGCTTGTACAAAAAAATCTGTAGAGAGGGCAACTTACCGCCCGGCGCCCTCAACTTCCCCACAAGGACACCGCTGCCGCCCCGAGGCTGGGCCTTGGTGGCCTTGTGGGGAATCCGGGCCTGATGGTGACACTAATGGACAGGGACTAGTGGAGCTGCTGTCCCCTAGAGTCACCATGTATGTTTGATGACCGAAAAAAGGCGTCTTAACAATTTGGACCTTGGTATACAATAATTGCAGCTCACATGTCGTTTTATTTTATTGTTTTATTTATTGCGGGTTTGCAGCATTTTTTATTCACATAAAGAGTTTTTCGCCTCGTGCGGTGTTCGTACGAGTCCCGGAGTACTCTGCACATGCAGCTCCTGATTTACAGCCAAATAAAATGTTTTAAAGCCTTTTCCGTCCTGTGTGCTCTGTGATTTGGAGAAGTAAATTCTTTAAAGTGGATACTTTAGCAGAATGAAAAAAGATTTTTCTCCTGTGTCACTTTACCGAGTTACGGGGAATAGTATTAGAAATAAAAACGTAGACGTTTCGGAGGAAATAACTTTTCCTTAAATATTTATGGAAAAGTTTCATCGTCAACATTTCTCCGATGAAAGCGTTTCAGTCTCGGACGAGGTAGCCGTGGCAGAAACATGGATCATGGCGCAATTTAAAGTGGACCTTTATCCCCTATCACTAAAAAATCACATCAGCATACAGCTCTTCATGTTGATATGAAATCATCTGACATTCATTAGCTCAATAAACATATTTTTATTTTACTTACAGTTATTGCTTTTCCACTTCCTGGTCCTCTTGGGTATTAGTGATGTAATGTGGCCACCCATTGCACCCTGGGAAGGTTACATCAGCAGATCATCGCTGGGAAATCTCATCTGTAATCTCAGGAGATCTCTCCCTCGATACATGGTGGGAGCATGGAGCCAGCTTCCCGGGCCAATCAGGAAGCCGGGTGGCGTGTATTGACTCGCCGCCTGGCTTCCTGGTACCGGAATTTCAAGTGTCGGGAATAGTATTGGATCATTTGGGCGAGTGTGAGTACTAGTATCGGTATCGGTGCATCCCTACTCTGGGGCATTAGTGATTAGTAATCTGTACGTTGCATCCTGGGAAGGTTACATCAGCAGAGCTTTGTTGTAATCTCACGAGATCTCAGAGAAAGGCATTTTCCTCCCCTGAGATGATGTGCATGGTCACATGTCCTAGTCACTTGTGCCGGAGTTCCAGGAATTAAAGGGAGATCTAGTAATCTGTCCTTAGTTAACATGACCACTGTGAGAAGACTGGGGAGGAAGACAAAAATAAGGAATGCAAAGAATACAAAGCCGGCAATTATCTAGAACTATGTGTTTGTAGATCCATTACTAAACATTTCTAAAGGTGTCTTTGTTGTCATAGCAAAGATATGGGTAAGGTTCCTCTTTAAGGGCCGATCGGATTTTCACTGATTGGACTACAGGATATTGTGACCTGATTGGTTGCAAACAGTCCTGGGTTGTATACCGTATATATTTACATCCAAAGTGAACCGTTAAGGGACATTTATATACATTTGAAAATGTATCTATATCCAAGGCTAGGCTGAGGCAGAGGCATCCACCTTGTGTGGCAATCCACTCCTGCCTCTGCATTGCCCAGCCATGTCTTGTACTGTGTAGGACTCGTTGGTATGTGTTTAGATGAAGCACTGAGATCTTGAGGAATGCTGAATTAAGTTTTACATGCTTAGAAGAATATTACATCTGAATCCAGCATTGTGAGAAAAACATAGATAGAAAAAACAGCTTCCTGTGTATCATAGATAAGCACACACATAGAGAGTAACTTTACACTACAGCGCCATCTACAGCTCAAAAGACGTATCACAGTACATCAGAATTTGCTGTTGCATTTCCAACAGGACTGAGCTGTCAAACTGACAGCTCAGCACTGCAGATTACACTGGGGGATGGCGGCTCTCCCTGTGTAACCAGCGGCACTCACAAGGGCGACATCCATTCCGAACTGCTCGTGTAAGCACGGATTTCCTGCTGATCTGAACTGATAGGTGCCCTTGGGACAACAGTGATGGAGGCTGAAAGGGGGCTCTAATTGGCTCCCCACAGAGCAGCCCTACTACTACATGGAGCTCAAAGTACCATACCCAGAATGAGCAGAACGTTTTTTATGAGCGCTTCTGATGCTATCCTGTCATTATATTTTTATTACTGCAGAAAGCAAGCCAAGGAAACCGACACAGCAGCTCAGACGTGTTACCTTTACAAGTGTTTATTCTGCTATGACATGAACTGACAAGCTTGATCATATTCTTCTCTTGTACTCAGTTGTGCATGTGATGATGAAATGTACTACAGACAGACATGAAAGATTAAAGTGTATCAAAAGGGAAAACTTAGTATTTGTTTTGGACAGAGTGTGGAAGGGTGTATTGCTCTCTGTAACTCCACTGGGTAGATTGGCCTTCTCTATTTCTCCTAGTGGCCCCTGTTAATGGGAACTTCTCACAATGTGCATTAGAAGCTGCAGCAAGTCAGGCAGAGCTAGGGTTGCCACCTTTTCTTCAAGTGAAACCCGAACACTCTAGCGACGCGTGGACATTTGTTTGGGAGAATGAGTGGTGGCTTATTCATATGTAAATATCACAGCTGAGAGTTTAGTTGCCCCGTCTGTCTGACATCTTGTGTCCGGGTTTCAGCTGCCATGAAACCTGGACACAGCATACAAAACCCGGACTGTTCGGGTGAATCCTGGACAGGTGGTCAACTAGGGATGCAGTGATACCGGTTTTTCGGTATCGAGTACGAGTAGCGATATTTATTCTTCGGTACTCGTCGATACCGAGTACAAATGCTTGTACTTCCGGTAGCATAGAGCCGTCTTCCCGGGCAATCAGGAAGCCAGGAAGGCTTCTTGATTGCCCGTGAAGCCGACTCCATTCTGTTTGGCCGGCTGGATGCTGATTGGCCGGGAAGCCTGCTTCCCAGCCAATCGGCATCGAGGCCGGCCAAACAGATCTGACAATATGGTGAAACAACCCCTACCCTGCAGGCACCTAATTCCCCTCACATAGATCCTGAGCGCCGATCACTTGAGCCCTGTGCACACAGGAGACGACAGATCTGGCCTAGAGACTGGTACGTTAAAGAATGCTTGGGACCTATGTGAGGGGAATTAGGTGCCTGCAGGGTGGGGGTTGTGTCGCTATATCACCAGATTTGTTTGCCCGGCTCGAAACTGATTGGCTGGAAAGCCGGCTTCCAGGCCAATCAGCATTGAGCCGGCCAAACAGCATGGAGCCAGCTTCACGACTCAATTTTTCCTCGCGGCACTGCCGGTCAGAGGAAATCTCCCTCTGACCGGAAGTTCTAGTATGCGGAAAGGTAGCGGAGCATTTGGGCGAGTACGATAACTCGCCCAAATACTCGGTATAGGCACCGATACATTTCCTAGTATTGATGCATCCCTGAGGCAACCCACCTCATTTCCTGGTTGGAGTATTTCCTGCATCATCTAGCTCTTTCTTCCCCAAACTGTCCCTGGCCCGCCCCTTTCATTCATTGGATTTCAGTCCTTTCAATCATGGAGGCTCAGCATGACATGTGACCACCAGCCTCAACTATGGACAACCCCTCTCTACCATCCAACAACACCCTGACACTACAGATGGCGTCAGGTGACGTTGACGCACTTTGGGATTCAATAGCGCTGTTGATTGGCAGACACACAGACCAGCCGGCGCTTTGTGGTCACATGACCACACCCAAAAAAATGAGGCGGAAATGTATTTAGATGGCGAATTAGAAGAAAACGACTGCAGAGATCATAACAGCAAAGGGGGGATCAAAGGGGATAAACATTACACGGGTATGCAGTTCTCTTGCCCTTCCTTCCACTTTAAGTAATGCAATGCATGATTCCATTATCTCTGATCACACCTCTATGTTTTGGATCGATTTCTCTAAGATGTAATGTTTTAGTATGTGTGTTTTTTTGTATTCCTTTAGACAAATACAAGTCGTGTGCCTGACGCTCCTGTCACCAACACTTGTCCACAGACATCTGAACAACACCTAACATCCGAGCAGGTACGGTACAATAAGATGTAGGAAACAAAGTTAACACAACAGGCCTCATTTCTCATAGGCATCTATTTATAAACTATCCAGAGGGCCCTTTACCTGGTGAATATCTGTGAACGTTCGATGTGTGCGGATGTATCTCAAAAGAAACGTTCTTTAGTTGTGCATCTTTGTGCATTATTTATGTAATATCACATAATGGCCACTAGATGGTGCTGATGAGCATGTACAATAAATCCTTATTCCTACTCGGCTTTAGCTCCATCTAGGGGTCATATTGTGATATCGCATGAAAACATTCTAAAATGTTTCCCACTTGTAAAGAAAATGACCGAAGAACGTGGATTTTGGCATATATCCACACATAATGAATGTTAACAAATATTCAGTGAATTGTTTATCGATGGACCCCTAGTGTTTCATATACCGACATATTGTGTTAGAATATTCTGCATACAATACAATTAGTATTACAATTAATTGGCTTTAGGTACACTGTTACCCTAACCCTCCCTGTCATACAACTTCATGATGTTACCATGTTTTTACCAGATTGGTAAGAGATAATCTAATGTTACAGATTAGAAACAAATGAGAGTATGCAATGTAAGTTCCCATAGAGAAAGGGAATCAAACAGGGATGCCATCAGCTGTTTCAGATACCCACATAACACCTTCTAACACCAAGGACAGGCTGTGCTCATGGACCCTATAAGCTTAACTTTAAGTACATGTATGTAAATTGTATGACCTGCCAATGAGTTTGCGATTCTGTCTAGCCAGTCTTGTGATGTGCGCAACCCTGCTAGACAGCATAGGCAGGTCACGGACCAACAATGAACTCTTCCCTATTTAATCCCAAATGAAAATAATGAATTGGCTTTAGGTACACTGTAACCCTAACCCTCCCCATCATACAACTGATCATGATGTTACCATGTTTTTACCAGATTGGCAAGCTGTACAGCGAGCTGGACGTGGTGAGAATGAATATGAAGGTCATGTCATCCATATTGTTGGAGAACCACCCAGGATCTGAAGTAACGGAAGACATGGATCTCTTACAGGTTAGTATTGATGTTCATGACGCAATCTCATGCTACGAAGATACCCAAATTCATGGATTATTATTAGCAACCTTCTCCACCCCTTCTGAAAGACACCAGCCCAGGATTAAACTCAGAGCACAGAAATCTTCATTAAAATGTACTCCTCAATAGCCAGAAAAGGGTATTAATCCACTTTGCTCGCACCAAATACCTTTTCTACCCAGATATTACCATTTACAAGTAGGAGTGACATCATCACGGTGCTGTAAATAGGCTGAGCAGAGAGCAGAGCTGTGGGAGGGGCTCAGCAGCTCCACCCACAATAGGAAACTAAAGGAGGGGGCGGAGACAAGCCCAGTCACACTGCAGAAGGAGGGAAAGCAGCAGTGAGCGATCTTTGTTAGAGGAGGGGGCGGAGACAAGACCAGTCACACTGCACAAGGAGAGAGAGAAGCAGTGAGCGGTCTTTATTACAGGAAGCTCCAACACTGGATTACTGCCCAGATATGGAAAAAATACACCTAACTCTTATATTTAGATAACATTTGCTTATTAATGCACAATGTTACTAAAGCTAGTTATCAGTCTTCCCCGTTCTATTGTGTTCTATTCTTTTTTCTCTTACTTAGTTATCCTTTCGTTCCAGTGACTTCCCCGTACCAATACCCATATTCATACCGTCTTATTAAAACAGAGCTCCTGGCCCGGCGCTAGTTCCTGCCTGCTCACGGAGGCCTTTAAATCAATGCTAGTATTACTGCTTCCTCAGCTTTTACACCGTTTCCTCTGACTCGCTGCGCCCGCAGGCCCTACAAATGACAAGTCATACCCTGAAATCCCATTTAGACTGCCTGCCTTGTCAGCAGAGGCTCCGGCCCACACCATTGTCACTTCACATCTCCTCTGTGACCACTGATTGTTATTGCGTTGGCGTTTTTTTTCCGATAGGATCTGCAGAAAGTGTGCCAAGAAATGCAAGCCCGGATCTTAAAGCTTCTGGAGACCGTACAAAATGAGGAAGTGATCATTGAGCTGGTGCAAGTCAACGACGATATGAATAATCTATTCCTGAGATACAACAGGTAACATGGAAATGTGAAACGTTCTGGATTTGTGTTTTCTGGGTAATAATGTCAAGTTTTCATTTCCTTCATTTTTCAATTTTTTGGGGTATTAATATACTTTATTTAACCACATCAGTACCGGTATGTTAAATCCCCTTCACTACCCGGCCAATGTTTGATGTGGGTTGACCGAGAATTTCTCCATCACGCAACACTGTAACCAAATTCACTTGATATCATTTTCTGGAGACATAAATAGTGGTATTTAAAGGAGATGTATGGGGTTAAGACTTTTCCCCATAGTTCTCCTTAGGGTAACGGGAGGACACAAACTAGCGTCCTACCATCACCCTAGGCTCAGTATACCGCGAGCTGTAGCTCGCGGTATACTGAGACGCCGCAGTATACCGCGAGCTGCTGCTTGCGGTATACTGAGACGCCGCCGCTGAAGCGGATCCCAACAATTTTGCCGGGATCCGCCCATCTGCATGACTGACAGCTGTCTCTCCCTATCTAGAGGCAGAGCCAGCTGTACCCGCCCCCTCCCCCGTTCGATCCGCCAGTCAGCGCTGGAGGATCGGTGCGGGGAGGAGGGAATCCAGCCCCTCCCCTGTCATGGCAGAGGGCTGTGACAGGATCGAGAGGTGAGCGAACGCCGGTATGTGTTCGCTCACCTCCCGATCTACTGAGGCGACCTGTGACAGTCTCATTGTCACAGGTCGGCTAGAACTATGAGGTGAGTGAAAAGCACTCCCCCTCATAGTTCTCCTTTAATAAGCACCTTTTCATTTTTTGCCATATAAAGGAAAAAAGAGAAAAACAATTTGATCTCCATACTCATGAGATATGTCCACCAACGTGGACTACCTTTGTCTGCAGAAAATGAAAGGATATGTCTCCCATATCACTCAGATTTGTCACAGATACATTGTAGAACATTGTGTAATATTTAGAGCACCAGTTGAAGCTCAATGGGAACTTCTGGACAGTATGTCACGTTTTATTTTTTCCCCGAAAAAAAGGCCTACCCCGAAAATAAGACCTAGTACTATTTTTGGGAATTGCTAAAATAATAGACCTACCCCAAAAATAAGACCTAGTTGTGACCAATCCCAGGGCCGGTGGTGACATAAGGGGGAACTTGAAGAGCCGCGGGAGAGAATCAGCGGTGCCAACGAAGCCAGCGCCAGAGGAAACGAGGCGGCAACGGAGGGAGCAGAGCCGCATAAGCCGATGCCTCCTCTATAGCTGCTGTCACAGGCGGAGTGATACCAAATGCACTCCGCCTGTGAGGAATCGATAGTGAAAGTGCGTTTTGCTCATTCTGGCCAGCGATTGGTTAGCAAATTGCTCTTGGAAAGGTACGGCACCCCTGATTAGCCCTGATCACCATATTTCTGTACCTGAATAAGTGTGGATTGTTGTACATAAAAAAAAAAGACCTACCTCGAAAAGAAGAATGCCCTGTGATTTCTAGTTGCGCCCCCTTGCAGAGCCCACCTGAGATTCCACACAGCCCACCTAGGAGTGACCCTGCAGAGCCCATCATCTCTATGGTGGGCTCTGCAGGGTCTCAGGTGGGCTGGTCACACCCCTGCACACCTCTTACCTGTCAGCCCCGATCTGCCTGTCCCCTCCTCCACCACCGCAGGGCCCCGGTCCTCCTCTACCGCAGCTGCTAGCTGCCACTGACTCAGCAGCTGCTGTGAGGAGGAACGCGCTGCTGCACACATCACTGACAGGTCCTTCTCACAGCCGCCAGTGACAGCCAGCCTACCATGCCATAGTGACCCAGACAGCCCGCACAGCATCAGGGAGAATCCTTTGTTCCTCATCCTGGCCAGGCCGCCCTGTGCCCCAGGCCCTATAGCAGCCATCTGGGTAGCTATTGGCGATAGTTCCGCCACTGATAGTATGTCCAGACAACACACTTTTATATTAAAGAGTATATACTGTATGGTCAAAAATAAATCTGTATTTCTATATTGGATATCCCACTCCTAATAACCAGATCCATCTAGAAAATTGTAACCTTACTTATTGAAGGTGCCCATAGGATGTACTTACTCACTGCAGTGACACCATTTCACTCAGCCTTGTGAATATGTACTACGTTGGGCCTTCTGAACTACAGCTCAACAACTGAACAATGTACCATTATCGCTGCTTGCTGGAAGCAATGCATTATGGGGTATGCAGTCTTGAGGAATGGAGATTGCATCAGATCAAGCAGCAGTGAAAGAGCCGCAAAGCACACTGGGTATACAGGAAGTGGTTGGAAGTGATGGGCAGACGGAAGGCGGCACTCACTAAATAAAAGGGATTTTTTTCAAGTAAGCTTTGATTACATCATCAGAAAGAACTCCAGCATGTGTTCCTATTACAATGCTGATGTCATAACAGGAGAGGATATGCTGGGACTTTACAACTCCTTTAATGTCAACTCAGTCTTGGTCTAGGCGTTCTACTACTTTAGTAATATTTACTTTTCATGTTTTGTTTTTTTTACTCAGATTTTCTCGCACTAGAACCAGCCAGTCAACAAATAACGTGAAGCAAAACGATACAGCAAAGGTAAGATAACGCATAAAAAAAGATTCTTCCATTCAGGACAAGAAAGTGGAGGCATGAAGCCTGGAAAGTGATGGCATTGCAGTATTATTCATTCTCATGAATATTTAGAGGAAAACACTCAATTAAAAAAAAAAAAGGAAAACTTTATATAATTACAAAATCCATTTTGTAATCTAACGCTTTTGAAAGTTAATTTCCATTTCAATCAGCAACTGCCAAATATTGTATATTGCTTTCTTGTAACCACGGCAACACTAGCCAGTATGAGGGTAAGACTTCCTAGTATCCTCATCCCTCTGTGTGCAGATCAGTGCTTTTCCCACAAGACGGCACAGAACCTGTAGTCGAATTGTAGGCATCCCGGGGGATGTCCCGTTTAATCCCGGAAGAGTTTTATCTGCAGTGAGACATGGAAAGGAATGCCAAGGATCTCCAACTGTATTTCCAGCTGGAGAAATGGAAAAGTTGATGTTTAAAGCCTATGTCCGGGCAAAAAAAAAAACAAAGGGGGTTATTCTCTAAAGAGCCAAAGGATCCAGCTGTGGATTCGGCTGATGCTTCAGCTCGCTTTGGCCGCCTCTTCCCTTCGGTTCAGTTGAACTGAAGGGCTGCTGTACGGGCTATTCACAATAGCCCGTACAGCAGCCGAGTGGCCCAGCCGTGCCGAAGGCATATGCTTCGGCTCAAATGAGCCGAAGTAACAGCCGAATCATGGAGAAAGGTCAGCCGAAGGGCCGACCGATCTCCACGCAAATGACAGCTTAGGGACGCCATTCGGGTCTGGGAGCCTCAGCTTTAGTAATTTATGTATATGGCTCCCAGATCGGAATGGCATTCGGGAGCTCCTGAATGCAAATCGGAAATTCAGATCCCAAATGCCATTCGGGTCTAGGAGCCTCAGCTTTAGTATTATATGTATATACCGTATATGGCTCCCTTGTTGCCGTAACGAATCGGACATGTCTATGATTCAGTGTGGTCTCCTTTATAATAGTGGGGAATGGTGATTTTCTTGCTGCTCTACGCTGTTCCCTTGTCCAGTCTTGTTATGGTCCCCTCGTGACGTCATGGTGCTGGTCCTTTAAGGTTAAGCAAACGTTTTTTTACATTTTGAATGCACTGGTGATAGGTTAGAACCTCTGTCAGATTTTTATTGATGTCTGTGTGTCTGATAGGGAGATTCACTCTTTATTTGTCCTGGTTAACCTTATTTTTAAGCCTGCAGTGTGTGCATCGTAGACAAATTTCCCCTGTGGAAAAAAAAAAAAAAAGTGAATTGTGAAATTTGAAAAACACACAAAACAAAGTGCACAAGGGTGCTTTTGGTCCTCCTCCAAAGAGAAAACCCCCCCCCCCTCCCCAAGGTAGCACAGCTCCTGATAGGGGCAAGGTAGGCCTGGTCCACCTAGCTGAGGCCATGCAGACCTTGATCCTTAGGGACCTGTCGAAACTAGTCCACCAAGTACTTGGTGAGGACTCTCCCGAAGAAAGACCAAGTGGGGAGAGGTAAAGAAAACCCATGGAGGCCACAGAACCTCTCCCATAACATCAGGGTCGGCCCCAAAGGCACCCACACCCTCAAGTGCGCATTCGTGCATAAGAAGTGCAAATAAATAATTGTCAGTGCAAGACATGGCAGGCCTTCAAGCTGAGATTTTTAAAAAATGATCCAGGATAGCCACACGGCCTGCCCAAGAAGCATAGTGCAGAAAATGTAACCAAAGGTGAGGTACAATTTTAAATTGTGAGTTTCAACCAAAAAAAGGGAAAACTTCCAATGGGGACACTTTTTCTAGAGAATTCACTTTTGAGAGATTTCCTCTCACTTCTATTTGGATCTAGAAGACAGAAAGTGAAGGTAAATTAATCCAATGGGGATGTAGCTGGGGATGAACCAGACAGGGATTATAACCATTTCCTACTCTATGGAAACTAAAAACAAAAAGATTTGTATTTGGATATATTTTAAGACTATAGGATCCTCTGTGGACCCATGTAATGGACAATTTTGGCAGCCAGTAGGTGGTGTCCACAGCTTGAAGAATAGACATGGGCACTTCAAAAAGGCCCCTTCCACATTGCACAGGTCAAGAGGGAAATATCTGCCATGTGACCACCATTGCAGCTAAGTATTTGGGATAAGATGTGATGATCTAGGGATGGATGGAGTGGGAGGGTATTTTTTTTATAAGCAGGCAAACAAAACAGGAGAATTTTGGGGAAAGGAGTCAACGTTTTATAAAACGAAACTGGTGAGCCGGATCAAAGTTGGCTATCTTAGTGAAAAAAGTAGAGGCTCATATTTCAAATATTCATGTTCTCCACCTTCATAGGGAAGAGCGAACCATGCAGTATTTCTGTAAAATTTGCAGCTTTGTAAATGTGGCCAATTTCAGTAATATATGACAGGAAAGTATAACCAGGTTGTGGTGAGGTGGCCTAAAAGAAAACCAAATATTCTCCAGCAAACCTGGATAAAGCAAGGCAGAGCCTTCCTAAAAAAGAGCCTACGTGTCTCATTTTCATTACAAGTCCCAAGGGGTGCATCTCACCCTTTAAGCTTTTGGTGGAGCCAAGCCAATCTTCCATGTTTGCCCCTTGGCCAACTAAACACACAGAACTGCTTCTTCCAAACAGAATCTAAAAATTAGAGCAATAATACATTTATTTGCAGAATACAACTTTTATAGAGAGGGAACAAAATGTAGAAACAGGCAAAACATATGCCGAAAGAATTCAAAATAGGTGAAATATGGAAACTAGACATGTGCAAATCGTTTCGTTCCGAATCAAAATTTGGGCAAATTTTTTTAAATTTGGATGTTCGGACGCATTCGAATTGCCGAATTCCAATGCATCTGAACGCGTCTCAATATGAATTTCCGTTTCCCAATTTCGAATCCCGTCCAAATTTCGCTCAAAAACTAAATTGAATCGGACGTGTAACTTTTCTGGCCAATCAGATGTGTTTTTCAGTTTAATGCATGGGTCTGGGACCTATGCATTAACCGAATGGGTCTGAATCCAAATCGAATGGGACCCGAATGGGTCTGAATCCGAATTTTCGAATTGCTTTCAGGAGCTCCCGAATGCCATTTAGGTCTGGGAGCCTCAGGTTTCGTTTTATGTATAGATGGGTCACAATGTTGCCATTACAAATATCCGTTCGTATTACAGAATACTAATACATACCGTAATACTAAAACTGATGCTCCAAGACCCGAATGTAGTCCGAATTTCCGAATAGCATTCGAGAGCTCCAGAATGCCATTCGGGTCTGGAAGCCTCAGCCTTAATATAGCTACCAGACCCATAATGCTTTCAGGAGCTCCCAAATGGTATTCGGAAATTCGGATCCCGAATGCCATTCAGGTCTAGGAGCCTCAGCTTTAGTATTAATATCTGCCTGCCGGGGGCTCGTGTTCGACACATTGCGGAACGAATTGACAGATTACTAGATGGGGTTGGGCACGACCCCGTTGTCATGGTGCACATCGGCACCAATGACAAAATAGGAGGAAATTGGAGTGTCCTTAAACAGGAGTTCAGAGACCTAGGTGCTAGGATGAAGGAAAGGACCTCCACGGTAGTTTTCTCAGAGATACTGCCGGTGCCAAGAGCCACTCCGGACAGACAGCGCGAGTTGAGGGAGCTTAACAAGTGGCTCCGGAGCTGGTGTCAGATGGAAGGATTTGGTTTCCTGGAGAACTGGGCTGACTTCGCAGTCGGCTATCGGCTCTTCAGCCGAGACGGGCTGCATCTTAATGGGAAAGGTGCAGCATTCCTGGGAGGGAAAATGGTAGAAAGACTGGAGGAGCTTTTAAACTAGAAAGTGGGGGGGAGGGTATAAAAATAAAATTACTTAAACTAAACGTTGATAATTTAATCATAGATAAAAATAACACAGAAAGTAGTAAAAAAGGAGTTAATAAAATAACGCATAAAAAAAGATTCTTCCATTCAGGACAAGAAAGTGGAGGCATGAAGCCTGGAAAGTGATGGCATTGCAGTATTATTCATTCTCATGAATATTTAGAGGAAAACACTCAATTAAAAAAAAAAAAGGAAAACTTTATATAATTACAAAATCCATTTTGTAATCTAACGCTTTTGAAAGTTAATTTCCATTTCAATCAGCAACTGCCAAATATTGTATATTGCTTTCTTGTAACCACGGCAACACTAGCCAGTATGAGGGTAAGACTTCCTAGTATCCTCATCCCTCTGTGTGCAGATCAGTGCTTTTCCCACAAGACGGCACAGAACCTGTAGTCGAATTGTAGGCATCCCGGGGGATGTCCCGTTTAATCCCGGAAGAGTTTTATCTGCAGTGAGACATGGAAAGGAATGCCAAGGATCTCCAACTGTATTTCCAGCTGGAGAAATGGAAAAGTTGATGTTTAAAGCCTATGTCCGGGCAAAAAAAAAAACAAAGGGGGTTATTCTCTAAAGAGCCAAAGGATCCAGCTGTGGATTCGGCTGATGCTTCAGCTCGCTTTGGCCGCCTCTTCCCTTCGGTTCAGTTGAACTGAAGGGCTGCTGTACGGGCTATTCACAATAGCCCGTACAGCAGCCGAGTGGCCCAGCCGTGCCGAAGGCATATGCTTCGGCTCAAATGAGCCGAAGTAACAGCCGAATCATGGAGAAAGGTCAGCCGAAGGGCCGACCGATCTCCACGCAAATGACAGCTTAGGGACGCCATTCGGGTCTGGGAGCCTCAGCTTTAGTAATTTATGTATATGGCTCCCAGATCGGAATGGCATTCGGGAGCTCCTGAATGCAAATCGGAAATTCAGATCCCAAATGCCATTCGGGTCTAGGAGCCTCAGCTTTAGTATTATATGTATATACCGTATATGGCTCCCTTGTTGCCGTAACGAATCGGACATGTCTATGATTCAGTGTGGTCTCCTTTATAATAGTGGGGAATGGTGATTTTCTTGCTGCTCTACGCTGTTCCCTTGTCCAGTCTTGTTATGGTCCCCTCGTGACGTCATGGTGCTGGTCCTTTAAGGTTAAGCAAACGTTTTTTTACATTTTGAATGCACTGGTGATAGGTTAGAACCTCTGTCAGATTTTTATTGATGTCTGTGTGTCTGATAGGGAGATTCACTCTTTATTTGTCCTGGTTAACCTTATTTTTAAGCCTGCAGTGTGTGCATCGTAGACAAATTTCCCCTGTGGAAAAAAAAAAAAA